TGGCCATCTGGTCGGGGTCGGAGAAGCCGACGGGGCCGCTGCCACCACTGCTGCCCTCGCCTCGTGCCTCGGCCGCCTTGGGGCTGCCCTCAGCCTCTGGTGGCAGCGGAGCAGCAGCGCCCTTGCTTGTGGCATTGGACCTTGGCCTGCAGCTCGCGGAGCGTGGCCGCCACCTCCTTGACCGAGCAGCCCTCCTTCTTGCAAGCCTCGAACATGCCCTTGGCCTGGGCGGCCAGTCCCGCCGCCTGCTGGTACTTGGCTCGGCTGGGCTCGTCGAGCAGCTCGAAGTCCTCCTTGTCGAGCTCGGGGAAGTCCACCCGCGCGTCGGGCGCCGCGGTGGTGCTGGTGCCGTCGGCCTCCGCGCTTTTGCCTCCACCAGCCTGCTGGACCTCGTGCTGCAGGAGGTCCAGCTCTTGCTTGGCCGCGAGGACCTGTCCGATGGCCTCGTCCAGCTTCGTGATGAGCTCCTTGCGGGTTTGCTCGTTTCGCGTGAGCTACCCTGCCACCTTCTCCTGGTGTTGCTGGGCCTGGCGACAGCGCAGGGCCGCGGCCTCCAGGCGCACCCCGAGCTTGGGCTCGGGCGGCGGTGGCACTGGCGGCGCAGGCGTGAGCACGGGGAGCCTGGCCGGCTGGGCGGCTGCCTCCGCCGTGGCCCCGTGCCCAGCCCTGGCTTCTGTGACAACTGCCTGCAGGGCCTGCAGGTCGGCCCGGTCGAGGCCGAGCTTCGCGAGTGCCTGCTTGGCGAGCTCATCCTTCTTGCTGTGTGCGGCTGCCGTCTCTGGCCACTTGTAGCCGCACGTGTGGCAACCTTCCCAGCCAGGCCTCCCCGCGCGCTTGGCCCACACCCGACTCTCCCCACGCGGGCAGTTGGGGCACACGAGGTACTCCCCACGTCTGCGCTGGCTGGCGGATCGGGGCCTGCTGTTGCCGCGCTGGCCTCCCCCGCCTCCGCCTTGTTGCCGCCACGGCCACTGGGCTGCACCTCCGCCTCGGCCTCGTCCTTGGCCACCGCGACCTCCTCGCGCCATGGTCCAGCGAGGCCACGGGAGTGCGCCGCGCCCATCTCCGTCGTCCTGCGATGCTTCACGGGGCGTGGTCACGAGCAGCGCCGCTGCCCGACCCACGCCGGTACATGATCGCAGGCCAGCCCGCCCCAGCGCCCCAGCGCTCGCTGCAAGCCGAACTTGCTTGAGGAGGAGGAGGAGGAGGAGGAGGAGGAGGAGGAGGAGGAGGAGGAGGAGGAGGAGGAGGAGGAGGCTGCAATCGAGATCGGGCCAGCAACGTGGAGGATCCGCCATGGCGTCGCAGCCCAGTGACCGGCTCTGCACGAGTGCAATGCCCCGATCCTCCAGCTCTGGATCTGGCACCCCCATTTGGGAGGGATTGGCGCTACGACGGTCCGTGCTCACACGGGGAAGCGTGAAACCCTGGCAGAGCAGGCCGAACACACTGCAGTTCGACAGGCTGGCGGGGCGCGCAGGCAGTGCGCCACGCCCCCTCGTCTGCACCTTTTCTTCCTTCGGCGAAGGCTTTCACGACTTCTGCTGGCCCTCGACTCGCGCCGCAGCGTCCATGATTTGCTGTAGAGTTCTCTAGTGATCTCAAGATTTACTTAATTATATTTACATGTTGTATAGGTTTCAATGGATTTGCCTCGGTTTACCCAGCTTGATCCCCACAAGTCGCTGAGAGAAAAGTCGTTAAGCCCTTGGGGATCCTTAACCACCATCGACCCCCTTTCCCCGCTGCGCTCGTCTTGTGGCCAGCCCATCGGGGAGTGCGGGCTAGAGGCCGGATGAGGGGCTGCGGTGGCGGCGGCGGAACGGCAGGCAAGGGCCCCTGCCAAGTTTTGCCCTCGACCCGCGAGGGTCGAGGGGGGAGGCGTTCGAACGTTTTTGCTTCTGTCGGGCCTCTGGAAACCTCTGGGGGCCAGGGTCCAGGGAGGGAGCAACACTTACCAAGGGCCACCTGCTCGCGGTGGCGTGCTGGCTTCTCGCTGCATTCTTTGCTACTGTGCGCCATGCTGGGCGCGCAGTGTGGCAGAATGGGGTTTCCCTCCGCAGCGAAATATGGAGTAGCGTGACCATGGATGGTAGGCTGCATGATCCTCGTCTCGTAGGTATGGTCATTCTACTGCTCCGGGGTCTCCCTCTATCCCCCTCCAAGCATTAGGGAAAGGTGCGATTTTGAAAGCCATGGACCCTCAGAGATCGAGCGCTGTGATGAAGTTTACGTTGTGAGCAAAAGGGTTAGCGTGGGCGGGGGAAGTATGCTTCGCGGCAAGGCCCTAATGCCCACTTGTACTCTCCACACAGGGGGCTATTCTCGGCGCGCGCACAGCGTGCGTTCGGCCTCAGCCTGAGGCTGCTGTGCGGGCGTGTGTGCATGCACGCGTGGTTCTGCTTCTCCTCATGTGTGCGAAGAGGATGAGGTGGTTGAGGGACGACAAGGTCGAGGGCGAGGATGAGGCGGGGAGGTGGCAAGCAGGCGGAATATGGAGGTGGAGGGATGAAGAGGAGAAGGGGGGAGGCATTAGGAAGGGACCTGGGAACTATTGAAACACATATTGAACTCTGAGAGCGAAGGGGCTCAAGGGGGATCCCGCCCGTAATAACCAACTGCTTCTTAAGCCTGTATCCAGTCGCCAGAATACGGGTGCAAACGCCAGAGGCGATCAATCCTCTCTCGAACACACGGGCGACACACGGAAACACCGGACCCACAAATGTTGGTTGCCTCATCTTCATTTCCGACCGACGCGCACGACCCCAACGATCGTTCGGCGCAGAACGTCTCGTGTGGGGCTCTGAACTACCGTGTGGGCCGCGCTGGCACAAGCACCATGCCGAACCAGAAGCTCGGTGAAGAGCGAGCAAAGACAGGTGGGTATCTTCGTGCCTCAGCCCCGCCCCCACGCGTCCATCCAGCAGGAGGGCGGCTCTCCAAGGGTAGCCCCCCCTCCCCCAGTCGCCTTTACTTCTGCCGCCTTCCGCCCGCGGAGCCACGGCGGCGCCAGCGGTCTCGATGTGTGGCCAACGTGGATGCGCGCAAACCCATCGCGCTGGGCTTTAGGCGACCACTGCCGCCGTGAGAGATCCGAACTGACATCCTCGCCCTGGCCTCAGAAGGGCCGCGCAGACGCATCGACTCTCGATCCTCGGTCCTCCTGCTCTTCGCTGCGCGTGCGTCGGTTGGCCGCCATCCTGTGGTCGCCCGATTCCGCCTATACGCAGGTCGCGCTGCAGCTCATACTCGCCACCGCCCTCGAAGCGTGGCGCAGCAGCATCGCAGCGTGGCTTGGCTGTGGCCGCAACCGTCCTCCTCCTTCTCCTCCCAGTTCTCCTCCTCCTCCTCCTCCTCCTTCTCCTACAATTTGCTCGCGCCTCCTCCTCCTCCTCCTCCTCCTCCTCCTCCTCCTCGCTCCTCACTCCTCCCTCCTCTTCGCTCCTCGCTCCTCCCTCCTCACCCCTTCCTCTTCCATCTTCGCTTCTCGCTCCTCACTCCTCCCTCCTCCCTACTCATTCCTCCTCCTTCCTCACTCCTTCCTCCTTCCTCCCTCCATCCTCCACAATTACTCAATATGAATACTACTCTCCCTCTTCCCCCGATGGCGGCCTGAAAATAGCCGACCCCCCCCCGCGTACTGTTTTCTTACGCACAGGATTCCCGGGAGTTGGGTTTTCGCTTGCGTTTTTTTTCAAAATGCTGCTCTCGCTGAGGCGCCGGCCTCATTTCTGCTCCCGAATCGTTCTGAATCGTGCTCCCGCTGCAGCGTGGGCCTCATTTTCGGATCGGTGTTTGGCCTCCGTCGTTCAGGATGGCGTTCTCGCCCCAGCGCGGGCCTCTTTCTCGCGCGCCCATCCGCCCGCCACCACCGCGCCGCACCACCACCACCACCACCACCACCACCACCACCACCACCACCACCACCACCACCACCACCACCACCACCACCACCACCACCACCACCACCACCACCACCACCACCACCACCACCACACCACCACCACCACCACACCACCACCACCACCACCACCACCACCACCACACCACCACCACCACCACCACCACCACCACCACCACCACCACCACCACCACCACCACCACCACCACAACCACACCACACCACACCACCACCACCACCACCACCACCACCACCACCACCACCACCACCACCACCACCACCACCACCACCACCACAACCACGCACACACGCACGCACGCACGCACGCGCACCACCACCCACTACGCACGCGCGCGCGGAGCCACAGGTCCGCTACGACACGCGTCCGCGGATAGAGAAAATCAGCGCCATGGTAAGGGATGGGAGGGAGGGGTAGGACGTCAGATATGACGCGAGCGCACCTAGCTTGCGAGCGCACCTAGCTTGTCCTTCCCCCCTCCCCTCTCCTCGTCCTCGCCCTTCCTCCTCTTCCCACCTCTTCCTTCATCCTCCCTCCCTTCCTCCCTCCCTCTTTCCTTCCTTCCCTCCTCCCTCCTCTTCCCCCCTCTTCCTCCTCCCCCTTCACCCCAAACATCTGGCCGCTCGGAAAGATCCAGGCAACCAGTCTGCTCGCCATTCTGGTCCTTCTCCCTCCCTCCTCGCCCCGCCTCCTCCTACCTCTTCCTCCCTCCTCCCTCCTCCTCCTCCTCCTCCTCCTTCCTCCACTTCCTCATCCTCCCTCCTCCTCCTCCCTTCCTCGTCCTCGTCGTCCTTGTCCTCGTCCTCCTCCGCTCCCTCTTCTCCTCTGCCTCCTTCTCCGTGCCACGCGATGTATCGCCCAGATCGCAGTCCAACTTGCACTGAACGGTTGTAATGCAATTATGGCGAATAGCTGCGGATGTGCCTGCGGGGCACGGGGTTCTGTCGAAAGCCCCATCCCGACCGCCCCACTCCAGACGCTCACTGCCTGACCCTTTCCGTCGCCCTCGGGACAGAAACGACTTCTTTTTTTTCCCTCTTCCCCATCCTCCACCATGCCGCCCCCTGCCGCCACCACCTCGTTGGGTTCGACGGCGGATGAAACATCCCTGTCCAGAAAGCACGCTGACAAGAAGAAACGCGCTGCCTTCACAGGACGCACATCGATACCTAAGCGTTCCAGATCGGGCAGAGCAAGCGTCGCCGTGTCCTGACCAGCGCACAGCTCCGATACCAATCACCGATCGGGGCCCCTTCCGAGTCTGGACGCGGCGGGCTCCTGTGCTGTGCCCGAATGCACTCGCGCCGAACTCGGCACGGCACGTCGAACATCCTTCACAGCCCCTTTTTCTCCTTCACAACCTCCTCCATTTCTGGTCTTGGGTAAATGAGCCCAGTTCACATTTATTTGCCGATGTCCGTTCGGTAAATGGGCGCTGAGCATGGCGAACTGAGGCCCACGCTGTCATCTCTGAACCAGCGCCAGAAAATCGCCTGGAGGAGGAGAGATGTCATCGGGCTCGCAGAACGGATCATCACATTGACGGACATATCCACCAGAGACAAGCTAAAGTTGTTCAGCGCGATGTTCAGAGTGAAACACACCGATAAGGCCAATACTGCAACCACTTGCTCCTGTCAGGGGAGACGGAAGCCTCGAGTTTGGAGGACTCGAGATGGCCAGGTGGGGTCATCAGACAAATGATGAGACCCACTCTGAAATTTGACGCGAGCTACCACCGCAAACATCACACGAAAATGGGGCAATCAAAATTCAGGACGGGTCCGTCCAGAGGCATCGGCAAACCCGAGTTCTGGCTAACTCGAGTCTCGCGTTTCCCCGATCCTGGCTCTCCAGACGCCTCGGCTTGTAAGCCCATGGCGTCAGCTGGGACACGCCGACCATCGCCAAGAGGGCCAAGAAGCCGACGAGCTGCTGCACGCCCGTGAGCGCGAGCGGGGCTTGGAAACCCTGCATGTGAAGCTCCGTGGATACCACCTGGTTGGATAGTATCGACTTCATGTAGAGATTCATGAACGCCTGAGCTCCGAAGAACAGGAGCAGCTGCCCCACCGTTCTGAACTGCGGCATGGCGACGTAGACGAAACCGCCTGCGCCTTTAGGGACCAGGACAAGTCTGCGATCGGAAGTCCCAACATCAGGGTTTCAATCAGGTCGCAGGCTCAAGGTACGCACAACACTAGAAAGGAAATGGAAGGACCAACACATACATGTTGGACTGATGTGGTGGGGAGGTCACATCCGCCCCACCTAAGACGAACGCATGACGAGGACAAACTCGAGATGACGATGCATCGGGCGACGCTAACTCTGGAGCAATCTATCACCATGGGCCTGCCTGGCAACCCCTCTTGAAATGACGGAAGGGGGAAAGGTGTATCTGGCGGCTCCATCTTTTCGAGGCATGTCGGGCGTTGGCAAGACTGGGTTTAGTAGGACCTGGGTCAGTGATGTGTCTACCAAGACGCTGTCCCTCCCCTTCAAACAAACCGGCAACTGTCGCCACCCGAAGAAGCACCAGCCACGGCAATTCTAGTATAGCGATTCCCGTCCATTTGTTGGGCTTCGGGGCCCAATCACTCACCGGGGCTCCCCTCATCCAAAGGCGCCTAACTTCGCGCTTCGCCCTGCGCGAAGCGCGAATAACTTCGCGCTCTCGCGTCGCCCCCAGGGGAGAAGAGGAGGATGAAGAGGAATCGGAGCCGAACCGCGAAGCGCGAAACATTTCGCGCCCTCGAGGGCGCCCTTGTCACCCCGAGGTCCTGGCTGCAGTCGGGACCTTTTGCTCAGCGTGTCGCCGCGGTGGCCCCCGGCGACACGCTACGCCACGCGTGAAGGGGGCCCAGGGACACACTCATAGATAGACACGGGTCCCAGGATTCCCGGATGTTTTTTCCATATATCCTGGCTCGCTTTCCACTCTACTTCCCATATCGGTGGAGAAGGAGGAGGACGAGGAGGAGGAGGAATGGAGGTGGTGGTGGAGGATATTCTCCCAGGAATCAGCGATTGGTTGTGTCTGTGTGTTTTCCCTCCTCTGAAATGCAAGCGCATCGCGTGCTGCTCCGACCCGTGGCGCGGGAGGCGGGGGGGAGCAGCTCGGGGCGTTGACGCTGGGGACGTCGGGGATGCGGAAGGCGTGTCGCGCCGCAGCGTTGCCCCTCCCTCTGCGCGGCCGCCCTGGAGCGGACCGCTCTGCCTCGCCGCCGACAGAAAAAAAGTCGCGCCGCAGCGTGGTGGGCCAGAACCCGCGGAGCGACACGCTATCCTTAGAGAGTCCAGGGTTCGCCAGGAACTGGTTTCTGTTCCAAACAGCCGAAGACCTCCCGAAGGAAACCCTCTGGAAAGGGTTCCGGGAGGCTTGTCGCAGGGTTTCGGAAGGGTTTTCGTCGCTGTTGGGGGGGAAGCAGTCCCTAGCGAACGCTGAGCTTTCTAACCCTGTCCAGAGGTTCCCGACCGTATATCCGAACATGGCCACCTGGACCCCTTGACCCCTTCCCATGGAGCCCGTTCTTCATCCCGAGCTTTTTTCTGAAGGTCCTGGGGCCCAAGACAGGTCTGCGGAGGCCCAGGATGGCGATCAAACTGGCCCCCTCGATCTTTCCGAGCCGCTGGATGTCTGGGGGAAGGGAGGAGGAGGTGGAGCAGGAGGAGGAGGAGGAGGAGGAGGAGGAGGAGGAGGGAAAGGAGAAGAAGGAAGATGGGATGGATTGCCCTCGGGGCAGCACGGGCGGGCCGACGACATCCACCTGGCCTGGGGGAGCGAGGCTGAGGACCGGCCGTGCCTGAGGGGCGCCGCCTCTGGCCAGGCCGCGTCGCCTGCTGGTGGCGTGCCTGCGCGGCGGCAACTGCTGCCAGCTATCGGCCCCCGCGGGCCACAGAAGCGAGGACGAGGAGGACGGGGATGAAGAGGTGGAGGAGGAGGGGGAAGATGCGGGGAGGAGGAGGAGGAGGAGGAGGAGGAGGAGGAGGAGGTGGAGGAGGAGGAGGAGGATGGCTGGAGAAGGAGAGGGGCAAGTCTACTCTTTTGGGCTCCCCAGCCTAACGCGACAAGTGGCGCAAGGATGAGTCGGCGATGATTGGGCGATTGGGGGTCGATGAATCCCTCCCCTGAGCCTCGACCCCCCCCACGCTGCCCTCGAGAAGTTTTCGGGTCATAACTCGAGCCTCTGGCGGCCGTTCGGCGAGATCCGAGCACCCGCAGAACGCTCTCGGCCAGGAGCAGCCGCTGGAAGGCACCCCGAAGCCAGAAAATCGCCGAGAGCCGTCGAACGAACCTCAAACCGGAGGAGTGCCGGAAAGGCCCCTGCCCCTCTTGAGGCCCCCGCGGCCTAGCGCGGCTACCGGCACCATGAGCTGCATGAGCAAGCTCGCCTGCTGGGCCTCCCTGCCCGCCGCTGGGGCGTTGCCCCTGCCGATGAGCATCCCGCCGCCTTCGAGCTGTTCGACCTGAACGCATGGGCTTTCTCTGTCCCAGGCCCAGATCTGGTAAGGCTTCGGGCTGCGCACAAGCAGCCCCCCCCCAGGTAGTCCCGGCTGGCCTCAACAGGCCCCCCCCTCGAGTAGTCCCAGCTGGCGTCGACAGGCCCCTCGAGCAGCCTGGGGCGGTCTCAACACCACGGCGCCGCCTCTTGCGGCGCCCCTGGGGAGCTCCGCGTCCAAGGGTTGAGGCGTTGAGGCCAGCCCAGCTGGGACTACTGGGGGGGGGCCTCTGTAGGCCAGCCAGAACTACCTGGGGGAGGCAACCCGAAGCCTTACCGACCAAATCTCCGACGATCTGTATGTTTCTCAATCCAGGCGTTGCTCTTCGATTAGGGGATCTCGGACGAGAAACTACAGTCAACCCGTATACAAAGGACGCACGATGAGGATGCACGGGCCTTGGAAGGCCATGTCGACACTTTGCGAGCGGGGCGCGGCCAGCGAAAGCGGCCAAGGATGGGCCGAAGGGGAGTGATGCAAGGGCAACCTTGGAAAGTTGCTCATCCTTACTATGCGGGCTGACTGTACTCCTGGGGAAGCAGTCAGGACCTCTGGTGCCGCGGTTCGAACAACATTAAATCAGATGTCTGGCCGGCGCCGTCAAAACAATGACTCAAGGTGGAACACCGGTCCCAAGGGAAGGGGTCCAGAGGTCCAGACCCGCAGGGGCCCACGTCACGAAAAGATGCCACGTCGAAGAAGAGGGATCCTCTCGCATCGTGAGGACATCGCGGCGGATTTGTCGTTGGCCGTTTTCACCCCCCTGGAGCCGCTTTTTGGCCCCAGGAACGCAACAGAACTACCTGGGAGGAACCCCCAGTCTGTACGGTATGCTCACTGTGTGCTTACATACATGTGAGGACATCGCAGCGGATTTGTCGTTGGCCGTCCCCCTGGAGCCGCTTTTTGGCCCCAGGAACGCAACAGAACTACCTGGGAGGAATCCCCAGTCTGTACGGTATGCTCACTGTGTGCTTACACACGTGCGGGCCGTCGATGCGGATCAATACACGCGCAGGTCCGTTTGCTAACACAGACATGCAGACGCGTATCTGCGTGTACGTGTGCGTGGTGCAAACCTGTGCGCGCACGCACGGCCCTTCCCCCTCGTCCTCCACCCTCCCCCCCTCCCCAGACATCCGCCGGCTCGATATCTTCGAGCTCTGGGCTCCTGGACCTCTTGAACTCTCCCCCAGTGGGAGACCTTGCCATCGTTCGGACGTCCTTTCCCCGTGCCTTCTTCGGTCTCGTGCGCGCTTTCTTGGCTACGTGATCCAACATTCGCCTCGCCGGTCTTCGCCGAGGAAAACTGCACACGCCCGAGCGCTGCCGCGACAAGGCCACGGGGGGTCACCACGAGGGCGGCCGCCACTTCGTCGAGGGAACGCCACCTCCTCGAGGAGGTGCCCCCCCCCCCAAGCGCCCTCCAGAGCCTCCCCAAACGACCGACCCCAGGAACGTGCAGAAGCCTCCTTCCAAATTTCGATCCAGGAGCCTCGATTTCCAGGAGGAGCTGGGGACCCCCTGTGGTGAACCCCCTCTGCACTGCTGGACCCAAGGCTGGTCTACCATCCCGAATAAAGCGAAGCCGGGACGAGGATAATATCGGGTGAGGAAGAATCGAAAATCTCACACTTATGATAGGAGAAGCAGGAGTAAACGATTACACTTATGAAGGATGTGCGGGGGATGCTGATGATGGTAATGAAGACGAGGCAGCGGATGATGACCAGGCGGATGAGGAGGACGAATCGGATGATGAGTGCGAGGATTACTTTGGAGGACGGGGAACAAGAGGAATTAAATGGGGATGCGTGATGTGGGGGATTATGAAG